GAGCGTATCTTTGTGATTTAAACATCCAGTTTTGACGTATGCATCAAGTGTAACCTCAGCTGATTCCCAACTTCTCATGATAGTCAAGACGACTGCTCAAAGCCAGGTGCCCAGCAACGGGTTTTAAATGGTTGTTCTATGCCAGGAGCGAAAACACCAACGTCGAATGATAGCGACAGTTGATGCCGATCTACGTAAAACGTAGTGCTGGCAATTACATCACATGGCGAGGGGGGGGGACCATATCAATGCTCAGATATGATTTTGTATGCAAAGGGGTACGAGATAGCAAATGACTGCGGGAAGTAGAGCTCTAAGGAACTAGACATCGCATTGGATCTTCAGAACCGACGCCTCCAGTAGCAATGTCGTAAGTGGTGTGCTGGGCGAAAGCCATTGTGAAGCAAAGGTTAGCATAGAGCCTCATGATCGAGATTCATGACAAGGCCAGTATTTGACGAAGGTCACATCACAGGCAACGGCGGCTACCGCGATAATCCGCAACGTCTGCCAGTGCCGGTCTTGAAGTGAAAGTGGCAACGCCGAAGGGGCGAATAGCCTGGGTGAGACGACTTGGGTTAGAGAAAGACGTGATACGAGATCGGAAAAAGTTGAGGTGGTGGTTTACTGTGAAAGAAAGAAGAGGAAGAAAAATTTTTCGTCAGGAAAAGATATGTACCAGGTGGTAGTGTAGAAGGAAAGGAAAGCGTGGGGTGAGGTAATTGGGAAGGCGGTGCAGGCTGCAGCTGCCGCCCGTGAGGCGTGTTAGACCTGAGGCACACACACATCTGTGGGTGCCTTTGAGCCTTGGATCAAACGTCGGCCTGAGGTTGCGATTTGCCGGTGTGGGTACGGAGAACTCAACCGATGTCAGGGCTTCAGGGCAGATACCTACCTCGGGTATCCCATATAGTTGAGAAAGATGCAGATAAGGTCTTTTACTCCGGTAGCTACTACGTACCGTCTGCGCCCAAGAAGGTACCTACAAATACTCTTCAACAGGGCGAACAGTCGAGTGGACGACGATGGAACATTTCCTGATTTCTGGCACCCCCACCCCGCTAGGAGGCGCATAGTAGCAACCATCAACAATCTTCGTGCCTCAATACCCACGATATCTATCTACCTGGCCCTGCGTGCTTGCTTTGCTTTAGGTAACATAGGTGTAGGCACTGATTATCCAAATCACCATCTTATCTCACGCTAAAAGTATTCGATTGTCAAGATAGGTCCCCAAGATAGGTCCCCATCAGGTATCTTGAGAAAGAAGCACATGATTACCGGTACCTAGGATGAGGACGATGGCTGTAAGCTAACAGCCCACGGATCACGCTGGCCAACTCCAGCCTACAGTGTATCTGTTGATGCGTGCCCGTGGCACGGCTTCTAGAAGTCTGCATGGAAGACAGCCTGATCGGGCCAACCGACGGGAGGATGAGAAAGGGTGGTATGGCGGCATGGCCTGCATTCCGCCTTCCTCCTTCCGTCTGATCATTGGCCATCAGCCTGGTCGGCTGCCCGTCAAATTATCGGCGCTAAATGCTCGGGTCTGTGCGATCGACTTGGAATGGGAGGTGCTGCATTCGTGTGTGTGTCTGCTCGGGAGATCTTTTCTCAGTCAAATGCTTCACCTGCAGCACCGTCTGCCACCACCTTCGGCCCTTCTTGACACGGTGCGTGGGTGTATCCATGAGGTCGACCGTCGGCTGCACCTTCGCGACCCTCTCACACCCCCGCCAGGCGCCAGCTGACTGTGCCGAGCGAACTTGGCTGGTTGATGGTCCATATCGTTGGTCAACCCTTACGAGGGTGTCCTTGACCGTCGACCTTTTGGTGCTTCTCTGCTCAATCAATATGTACTATGTCAAGAGTCTTGAAGCCCTCGGTGTCCGCTTTGGGCTTAGGTCTGCAGTCTCTACTTTTGCGACCCCATTGAGACCTGTCGATGGACGACATATTGCTTCACAGCGTTCCAATCAGTGCCCGCTGGCAGTCCTTTCCAATCGTTCAGAGCCTATGTGATGAAAGCTCGCAGACCAGCAGCAACAACTCTCGCTAGCAAGATGTATTTCATAACCACAATGGACTCTAGAAGTCGAGCCGAAGTTCTACAAACAGCGAAATTGCTACGGGATCGATATCTGTCTGTGCCAAAATATAAACTGCTATATACCTCTGCGTCCTTTTGTCTCTGTTCTCCAAGCCGAGCGCCAATAGTCGGAGCAACGTGAAGCGAATACAGTTTGACAAGTATATTCAGAGAGAGGCATCATCCGTTGCTTACGGATACATTGCCCCTCATTACCCCATTATGCAGCCAGACCAAAGGAGAGAATCGGTTGTCCTCGGCCAGCATCATCTCGTCGTCGAGTTCGTCTCATTATCGACTCCTGCTCTAGCTTGGGTGCAGTTCGTGTCTTCGGGTCGCACTAGTGAAGCGGCTTCCGCTAACGACATCGTTAAACCATTCTCGTTCAACGATACTGAAAATATCAAACGAAAGTTCGATAGACCATTGTGAAGAAATCCGACGTCGATCGACACGGCTAACGAGTTGTGGTTCCGACTCCCGAGGACTAGTCGGCGCATTTGGGTTTGGGAGAAGGGACTTTGGAATGAGGACCGGAGCCTCACACAACCCTTCATGTTCAATGGGTCCCGGTGCTGGAGTAGCAAATATTCTGGGCAACCTAGAACCACACGGCTCTTGGTCAGCCAAGATGCCTCGCTTCTAGAAGAATAAGACCAACTGCTATTATGGACCAAGACTATGCAGGGCAGTTCCGCCTGTCGGATAAAGGGGAATGCAATAATGCAGGAGATCCAAGCTGCCAAGGACCATTGACGTTCGATCAGCCAACGACGCTTGTGCCTTTGGTGCGGTTCGCCAAATGCAAGCCAGAATGCTGTTACAGGCAGCGAAATCGAGGCACATCAACCCCGCTTCTCCAGAGAGCAGGGAGGGTGGGTAATTGACATTGGCATTCCCCGTCTCACCCGATATCCGTGCTAAGATGGAAGAACTTGAAGTCAACCTCTTGAATGTATAAGCGTTCAAAGGGCTTCTTGTGAGTACTGCTCCCCCGTACGGTGAACGGCCGGTCTATGGCTGCTCTCTGAGAAGCCGACTTGAACCGCTAATGTCCACTTGCCTTAGCCCTCCCCGCCCCCTCTTTAGGCTTCGGCTTCCACTTGCTAGTCCTATTGTCATTCAGATACGGATACTCCGCACTTCATCATCGGTACTGGCGGTGTGGCTGGAAGAGGTATCATTCGGCGACTATTTGTGGCATCGGCCGGTCTGTCCTAATCTGGAAGCTCCGCCCCCATTCAGCCTCTTGCCATCTACATAGATCGTGCTCGTCGTGCTTATTGCGACGTGGGAATGGTGGTCTTGGTCCTGTTGATAGTCGCGCGGGTCTTATACTATGTTAGATATATAGGTTTCTATTGCCCCAAGGTGTGTCTCGATTTGACTGTGTTGCAGAGGTTGGAAAAGGGAGACATGGTGGTGGCATGGTGTGCCGACGAGGAAAGGCCGTCCAGACTCAGCCAGAACCATGTGACACAGCTACAGGATAGTATTTGCGTATTCTTGAACGATTGATCCTCCCTATACGAATCCCTAGACGAAGCTTACAGAATAACCATTGCTTCTAGTTACGGTAGTCACCAGAGCATAAGAGGGGGGTTGCATCTAGGAGCCAGCGCGATGACCAGGTGTTGGGCGATACTGCTGCGGCCAATCGAGGTTGGATTCCAAATATATACGAAGGAGAACGAGCCGAGTGTTTGGACCAGATCCAACCTATCGTCAGGACGACGATGAGTTTGGGTCTGTTAACTTTTTGGTGTATGGGGTCTGGCATTTTGTCAATACACCCACTACATGTCCGTGTGCAGATACCTGGGCATACGCTTACAACTAATGCCACAGCATCTATCAGAATTGCCTGTGGTGCTTTTTTCCTCCATGCGCTAGAAGTGTTTGCTGTACTCGTTCGCTGGCACTACTCGCGAAACTGTGTGGCAATGGCACAATGGCCCGCCGCCGAATCCAAGAACCTGCTCGTGTACGATATAGTCGCAGCAAGTGGCGACTTTATGAACGCATACGCAGCAGAAAGCCGAGTAACTTGAGTTCATCATCAAGTACTCCAATGGCCAAAGGGTCTCGCTTGAGTCGGCGACACCGTGTTTGCGCCGTCCCATGGGCTGATAGTGGCGCCCCAATGCCTTGATGTTCGCACAACGAGGAACAGTGCCATCGATCTTGAGCTATTGCTCATATTGAACATATAAATTGCGGTTGCAGAATCCCCGAGAACGAGCTTTTGTCACCCCTCCTTCCCCGACGTCGCTACAGCTGCGAATATTCTAGGAGCTAACCTGACCAAACGCCATCGCTGTGTCTCACTAGATATCGACACGATGACATCGACATTGAGTCTCAACAGTCTCTCGCCGGTGAAAGATCAAAGGCAGACAGGAAGATTTCTTCTGGTTGATACCTTAGATATGTTGCTGGGTTGCTTTGACGATTGAAGATAGTACAACTTTTCATATTTTACTTCACGAAGGTCTTGCTAACCACGCAAGTAAAGGCCGTGAGGATGATCGATATTGTGTCACAGGAGCTCACATATAGGTAAGTCCCTCGAGAACACACTACAGAGAATTATCAGAAAAGGTATGGTTTCGGAGGGAATTCATATCCAGGACGACGTCGCTCATGAGCAAGCTGGCGTACCAAGCCGGGCACGGCACAGCCAATGGCGACATAGCGAAGTGGGGCGAGGTCGTTGTCGGTGCCAATCGGCAACTCCTCGGAACGCATTCAACTACACCTCGGCCAAGTTCAGTTGTGACAATTGACATCCAACTTCCCTGGACGGCTCATCTAGTAGCATAGACCAATATCATTGGCCTTACCTTTGGTTTGTATTCAATCAAAGAGACCGATTTTCCAGTCAGCATTACCAGGGGCGCCAGAAACTACAATGGGCTCGGAGAAGAACGACTCCAGCGAAAGGTACGCCCCCTCCTACATCCGAGATACAGTGACGACTTCATGACAAGACTAAACTCAATTGCCACCTTACAGCGCTGTAAATATCATCTTTATTGGAGCTGGCGCCGTTGGCTGCTTTTATGCTTCACGGCTACACCACGTAATTATGCCAAAACCCCCGTATTACCTGTCCAGCCAGGCTAACTCACGTCCTAGCCCGACCGTAACATACACGTCTCACTCGTTGCCAGATCTAATTACAAGGCACTCAAAGAGTCGGGCGTACAGCTTAAGACTCATACCTTCGGCGACTACATCTTTCAACCCCATGCCGCCTTTCCATCCGTGGACGCTGCAGCATCCTCCCAGACGCAGTGGGACTTTGTCTTCGTGACGACCAAGGCGCTTCCAGATCGCTCTGATGATTCTGCCATGATCGTACCTCTTGTAGGGAAGAATACGAGCATTGTGCTCATCCAGAACGGCGTTGGCGTCGAGGAGCCGTTTCGCCAGCGGTTTCCCAACAATCCCATCGTGAGCGCCGTGACGATTGTCAGTGCCGAGCAGACCTCGCCAGGTGTAATCCGACAAAACCGATGGACGAGGGTCAGTATCGGGCCGCATACTAATGGCCTCGGGACAGGCGACCCCGAGCTTAGCCAACGCGGTACAGAGGCGGTCAAGCAGCTCGGCACGTGGTGGGGTCCCGGCTGGGGTGGAATCCGCGACGTAGAGCCCCACGACGAGATTGGGCTGCAGACGGTGAGATGGCACAAGCTCTGTATCAATGCCGCGTTCAATCCAAGTGCGGTGTTGAGTGGCGGGAGGGGCAACGCAGACATGGCCACGGATCCGGAGCTTCGGGAGCATGTTTTTGGCATCATGAACGAGATCAGAGCGGCGGTACCCAAAATTCTGGGACGAGAGTTTCCCAACGACCTCGCGAAGCCGGACCGTATTGTCAAGAGCACGGAGCGGAATACGGGGGCAAGGCCCAGCATGTTGCTGGACTGGGAGGCTGGACGCCCGTTGGAGTTGGAAGTGATTTTGGGCAATCCGGTGAGGATTGCTAGAGCCCACGGGGTGGAGATGCCTCGTTTGCAGACACTGTATGCCTTGTTGAGCAGTGCGCAGAGGACTCGAGAGGAGAGAGCAACCAAGGGAAAGCTGTAGGGTACGAATGTCAAGAGTTGGATGGCCATCTGGTATGCTAGAATAGATTCAACTTCGCAACTGAAGTCAAGATTTGCCGCCCAGGCCTGTTCCTTGAGCCTGATGCTCGCTCTTGATCCACCGTCCCGCGACACGATGTTGACAGCTGTTAGTGGAGAAGGGCACGATGTTGCAGACTTGTATGGGTCGTCGAAGGGCCGATAGTCGATGTACACATAACACTCATCTCACCTTGGAATGTTTTCGTCTTTTTACAGCAAGTATGTCAGGTTGTATGAATGAACACCGCGTTTCTAGGCAAAACTGGGTGTAAGGCTATATCTTTCACGAGACAAGCCAAGTTTGTGATTTCATGTCAATGAACATTACTTTTTACATGAGCGACAATCAATTATGAAGTAGACCAATCGCTTCAAGTAAATATTGTCAACTCCCGGGTAGCATGGGATCTTCGAATGCTTCTGTTTGTCATCACGGTGTGGTGGCCGCAAACTTTGAAAGACCAGTCTGGGAGACATGTCAAGTCAACTATCGCTCATTGCTCGAAAGTTGAGTCTCGATCATCATGGCAAATGCTTTCAAGTCTTGATCCGACTGGCAGGCAAGACGCCCCTGTCTCCGCCCTTATTCACGTCAAGCACTCCGATATGAGAGTGAAGCCCACAAAATCTCATGGTCAAAGTACACGCAGATCATGCCTACATGTATTAGCCATGCAGCCTGGGTGTTCAACACCATAATATTAAGCTTAAACCTATGAGGGTTCCGAGCCTCGTCAGGGTCTAGACCGATCCAGCGATGGCCTGTCAGCCCCAACGGCACCCGCATCTCGCTCAATGTGGCACATCGTAGGAGATCGCAGCAACCAGATGGCGCATCGGGGATCACGGATAACGGGATGGCTCATGTGTAAGTACGGATGGGGGCCGAGCACTAAAAAGCGGCAGAAAGCGCGGGAGTAAAACAGTTCGCGGCGCCTTTGAACAAAGGACGCAGTGTGCCGTGTGACCCGTGTCTACCGCTGGGGTCTCAGAACGACATGAGTCCGGCACGGGCGACCGCATCCAGAGCTTGGCCCAGCATGTACCTCGTTCCCATCGTCTCTAGCAGAAGAGACACAAGAAAATCGAATTCCCGGTACGAGACGGGACAGCTACGAAGTCAAGGCGTCACGTTCAGTCGACCGGTAAAGCTGTCAACGACTACAACCAGGCTGGCTGGTGCAAGCTCATGGTAACACTGGCAAGGCGTTGAGCGGTGGGTAAAGCGTTCTCAGGCCGTCAACATATGTGGCGGTGGCGTCGATGTGAGGGTAAGGGTCCTGGGTATCAGCTGCACAGGATAACGTCGACACTAGCTTCCCGAAAAGAGGCTTAAGGTTAGATTATGAACCCAAAGTCTCGGAGCGCGGGAAGTGCCTGTCAGTAGAGTAATAACGTGAGCCGGATGCGTTCGGTCAGTCGGGAATTTGGATCTGAAGGGAGAAAGAAAAGCCCTCCTTTCGCCGGGTATTTAAACCAAGCAGCTGTTATATTCGGGTGGCAGTGGTTGTAGTGTAGGTCTGAGCGGAAACTGCACTGAGGTGGTTCGGATCTGAGGGTGGGGTTGGCCAACAGGGCCTGATTGGGGTGGAAGACCTGGAAGCGAAGTGCACTGACCACAATTTATGACGTATGACCCGAGCAGGGCTGAGATAGCCCCCTGGTTGTGCCTGCCTCGCTACCGAAGACACCGACCATCGATGTATGGTCACGTATGTGCTTACCTAAGTAAGAGGCTACGCCATGAAGGTATCTTACTCGGTACACCATGCTGCCAGGTGTGTGGCGTGCCAGAGAAGAAATAGGAACAGTAGGAAGGAATTGCAGACTGCCCGGTGACTCTAGCCCGAGACTCGGCTAGGCGGTGGGGGGAATTGTCGTAGGGGTCTACCGACTATCAGCAAGTGGGAAAAGAAAACAAAAAACCCAAGATGTTTGGGGCGTGTGCCTACCTTAGGCGCCGCATTTGAAATGTAATCCGGTTTCGAGACTCATGTCGACGAATAGCCCATCATCTGGGGTTCAGGGGCCTCGATAGGCACGGCATAATAAGGGAAGTATGGAATGTGGATGGTGTATGTTGGGCCGTAAGGTTGTCTTGATTGTGTCCGAAAGATTGGTCGGGTACGGACCATGTTCCAGACCCTACTTATTACTTGGATTGCTGTGAACGGCGTGCTAGGGTGGGTGGTAGGCAGTTGAAGTGCATCAAAGGAGAAGTCTGGGCTAGAACCGGGCCCCATCATGCTCAATTTGGAGAAGCAACTTGGATGAGGCCTGTTTCCCCCTCAGCTCAGACATGAGCAGCCAAGGATGGCAGATGGTGCTCGCAGCGACAGGAAGATTTGGCTTTCGATTATCTTTCAGCTGAAAGTCTTCCAATAAAACGACAACCTGTCTCGGTCGGAGTCTCATTGGGTACTCCGTACGGTGTTTTTACGTGCGTGCTTGCTAGCCTACAGTGAAAGGCGAGGAACATACGGACAGAGTAGGCAGGATTGCAAGCGTGACAAGCTTGGAGCAACAGGCACGTGCGACTGGGGATCCATCACAGTCGACGCGAGTGGAGAGTCAACTCTGTCCAAGCAAGGATCGACACTGACAGAGCCTTTTGAAGGATAGGCAATTCTGAGAATCCCATCCTCGACAACACCACGAATTTTGTGTACCCCACTTGCCCACCACCCACCACCACGTCCTTCTCGTTGCCATCTCTCTTTTTCTCTCCTCTCTCTCTCTCTCTCTCTCTCTCATCTTGTGGATTGCCAGGCGTGCCAGCCACACACAGCTTGAGGACGGAACCCGACATTCGCGACTCGGCACTGGACTCTTAACGCCAGCCACAACAAGGAGAAGAGCGCATCATGGAGCCTGTGACACGCCTGGATAGCATCCAATCAGGTGAGCTACCTCATGGCTTAGGGTATGCATAGTCAGGGGCATATCCCAGTCGTCACCCAAGCTGCCAAAACCCTTCCAGTCACCGTCATTGATTGTCTCCGATTCTCTGTGGCGAAAGACAAAGATCTGCCCTTCTCGATTCCCGCCTTGTTCAGCGCGCTGGAAACCCCGATCCCCTTCCCCTCCACCCCACACACCACTTTGTGCCATTCTTACTTTGACTTGCTTAGTTGCTTAGGTAAACCAGCATTGTGCGTATGCGAAAAACCACCAGGCCGGATAGAACATCCTCATTGGTACCAGCTCCGTTGTGGACGGATGCTGCCAAGTTACGTCTTGGTCCATCGCTGCTAGGATTTCAAAGCTGTCCACTATGTGGTTAGCAGCTCCGACTTCCAACTCTTGCAACGGTTTTCATCATTCTTCCCGTTCCAAGACGCGCTATAGATATCTTTCCAACTCTACGGATACGTATTTACCATAGGTACTCTGATTATGTCGGATACCTTACATACTATACCACTGCTTTGACCGAGACGTACATCGATATAGGCGGAGCGGACAAGATGTCCGGCATCTTGTGGTGGAACAAGACAAGAGCCCGTGAAACCCTGCGGCGAAAAGATGCATTCTCTGATTCGAATTCAGCTATGGCCGAGGCTCCGTGTGCCGACAGAGTCGGTCATCTCTCTGTATTGTAGAGAATGGATACCCGACATGCCACCCCGGTCGCCGTGATGCGCTGCACCTCACCGTGTTTTGAAGAGGGCCATGGAAAGATGGCAGCTAAAGGAAGCAGCCACAGCAGCGCAGCACAAAAGTACAGCCTGGCGTCCGGACGATGGCCTTGAGAGCTCGGGGTCCCTGGGGCCTCGTGTTCGTTGCAAGCGGATGAAATGCTCCTAACCAAGGTAAGGTAAGGTAGACCGTAGCTGGGTCGGGATTGCCAGACCTACTTTCCAGGTACCTCGGATGCTTAGGTAAGTCAAATGAGGTAGGTACCGCAAGCGGACGAAGCACCTTTGGAAGACCTTGGATTATGGCGTTGCAATCGTCCCTTCCCACCCTCGGTGTCTTTTCCTTTGTGTCTTTCCTGCGTTCCTCTCCATTTGGGGGCCACTGAGGGCCTGTTACTCTTACGCAGTCTCGCAGTTTGGCACCTCAAGAGATACCTATGTACTTGTTAAAGACTGATGAGTGGGCTTGGTCCGCGATTCCAACTTGTCCCATGAGGGGCCACTTGGTTGATGATCGGCGCACTAAACAGGGATAGGCGGTTTATCCTGGATCCATGATTCCATCCTCTCGCATCCATCCCGAGACTTTGTGCCTCACCGAGCTGCTGGGGCTTTCGCTAAGGTACCTACTGCTCCAACTCCTGTTTCTCACTGTTTGGTTTATTTCTGCCACTGCTGCGCTGTAGGTGTTCAAGGTATCGTACAGAATACCTTCAGCGTACGATTGAGGCGGCATTATCCGTCCGGATACTGATTCTTAGGTACCTGCGCAAAGCACTTATGACCTCCATATCGATCGCTCCGTGACTGGATTGTGGATCGTGGTTTCGACTGGACTGGACTGGACTGGAATCACTGGATCGAACTCGACCGGGAACTGGGGCTGGGTTTAACTGGGAGCGACTCGATCGGATTGGATTGACTGGACCGGGCCACGCCGCATCTCATTCCTGTTTTTGTTGTCATCTAGTCTTTCCCTTTCAGTTTCCCCATGTGTCTGCACCACTGCGTGCGCTGTCTGTGTTGTCTGCGTCATGACCTGGGGTTGTTACTTTTGGTGAGGTGTAGTACGGATAGCGCTTCTGCCACAACGTTTGCCGTGTCCATCGAAATGCTTTTCCCTCTACTCCGTACAGTGGCTCTCACCTCTGCCTTTTCGCCTCACTCTCTGATTTGCGCCGGCTGGCCAACATGGTTTATCATGATTGATGTAAGCCGGCACATGGGGCAGATGTCCCTTCCTTGCCTTCACTTCATCCCTCTGCTCGCAGGTACTGCACACCTAGTAGGTAAAGAAAAGCAGAAGTATGTATGGTATAGG